GCGAGTACTCGAAAGCACTTTCATCGTACGAACGATCACTTGAAATCCAGAAAATAGCTCTCCCTCCGAATCATCCCAACTTGGCTGCTTCCTACAACAACATTGGGGAGGTGTATAACAACATGAACGAGTACTCAAAAGCACTTTCATACTTCGAAACATCACGCCACATCTTCGCGAAAACTCTTTCTCCGAATCATCCCAACTTAGCTCATCCATACAAAAACATCGGAGAAGTGTATAATAATATGGGCGTATACTCAAAAGCTCTTACATTCTCTGAACATGCACTTCATATCCGCGAAAAGTCTCTCCCTTCGAATCATCCCGACTTAGCTGCTTCCTACAACAACATCGGTTTGGTGTATGATAACATGGGCGAGCACTGCGAAGCACTTTCATTTCTGGAAAAAGGTCTTGAAATACGACAAAAATCACTGCCCCCAAATCATCCGGATATTGCACAGTCGCAAAGAAACATTGAAAATTTAAAAAAGAAAATGTAACTTTTTTTTGTTTAACGAGAAAATAAATTAGCCTTCTAGAACACTTAGCTCGCCTCAGCGCACGAGCTGCAAAATTTCGTACAGTAGACAAAGCCAGCAATGATTAGGCAAACATACATGTATAATATGTATGACTAGTACCAGAGATGGGATCGGTTGGCATTTTTGCCACACCGAACCGACGGTAACCGAAAAAATCTCTAACCGAGCCGACCATAACCGACCGAATTTGTTAAAATTTCTAACCGAGCTGACCGTAACCGAAAAAATGTTTAACCGAACCGAACGTAACCGACCGAATATTTAAAAATTTCTAATCGAACCGACCGTAACCGACCGAATTTCAAAAATTTCACAATCGAACCTGGTTTAGAGAAAGCACAGTTTAGCTTATGTTAATTAGGGTAATAGTGCTTCATAAATTAGCAATAACAAATCAAACAATAGCAACTACCAATAATGAACATTTAGAGAAAGCAAAGAATAAGGATTATTTGTTGGATCTTCTTACTGTATTGTAATTTCCTTACCCTTCAGGACAAATTTAAAAACTATGTGAGGTCATCCGCGTTACAAGCAACAGCTAGTTGTTGTACGATTATATTCTTTTTTCTTCTTATGTTTCACTGAAAAAGTCCATTGAAGGGTGTGGGTGTGGGTGACCCTAGGAGAAGATAAGAACAACACCACACCCACCCGCACCCACAGCCTACACCCACACGCACACGTACACCCACACCCCACACCAACACCCACACTCACACTCACACACCCCCCCCCACACCCCCCCCCCCCCCCCTTTTTTTCATTTGAACCACTTAATCACTTAATATTAATGAATTAAGTCGTTAAGTGAAAAATTTAAACTTAGTTTTAAATTAATGTAAATGGTTCATCCCTAAATAACAGGTTTCTGTTGATAATGTCATATGTTATAAAACTTTTTTTTCTCATTTTATGGAAAGTATTTTAATACTAAATTAGATTCTTTTCGTCAATGGCATGATCATTTATTTCGACGCAGTGTTGAAATTGCGCATGAACAAACATGGATTTCTATTACCCGGGCAGACAACAAAACGGCAAAAACGGCGTTTAAACGTCTCAACATCTGAACTATTTAAACAGTGTCATTAGTCGCCAAAAACGCGTTAAAACAGTTTATGAAAAATTAACTTTTAACACGTTTTACATGTTTAAACGCTTGGAGTCATTGAAATTATAACTGTTTTAACGCGTTTTTGGCGACTAATGACACTGTTTAAACAGTTGAAATAATTTCCCTTGTCACACCTCTTAATGATCAACAAACGTTTCATCTAAACGATGAAGTACCAATAATTTATAACTAAATTTTCTTCTCATTGATAAACTGATCGATTATATTCCAATTATCATTAGATTAATGTTAAATTGACATTTGTTTATAGTTTATACTTTGAAAACAGTGCAGAGAATTTATCTCTCATCAGTTCGTTTCTTTTTATGTTAAGAGTAAGTTTATATTTTACTATTTACTTATTGATATTTTTTTCTTTTTGTTTTTTTCAATAGTGGAAAGAAAGATAAAACATGTAGGTTTAATCGAACAGCATTAACACCTTGTCATGCCATTCCACTATTAGAAAAAAAACAAAAAGAAAAAAAATACCAACAAGTAAATAGTAAAATGTAAACTTACTCTTAACATAAAACGAAACGAACTGACGAGAGATAAATTCTCTGCACTATTTTCAAAGTATAAACTATAAACATATGTCAATTTAACATTAATCTAACGATAATTTGAATATAATCGATCAGTTTATCAACGAGAAGAAAACTGAATTATTTCCATTCATGCTTCAAATAAATGACGGATAAGATAGACTGATGGATAGATTTAAAATAGTACGACTAACACAGGAATTGATGAAAAGGCAAAGAGCGGACTATCTAACCAGCTTCTAATATAAGGAAAACTACAATCGGAACTACTATGGTAGACAGATGTTCTTTTCAATTATCATTAATAAATTTAACTTCATTTCGATCAAATTCTAAAGTATCAAAGTTCGGAGATATGATATAACTAGAAATGTCATCAATGCACTACGAAATCTCATAATTATAGTGTGTATTAAGTCGGTCATGAAATCGATTAAGCCACACCTATGCACCAGAATGCTATCTGCTTTTTCCTGTAGTGACGATATTTCTTTTAAAGCTCATTCATCTTTCGATGACTTAAGATTCCCTTTTCATCGAGTAGAAAACTAAACTGTTTCAAACGTCTCATATGTCACACGTATTAGTGATGAACATTCTATATGAAACATTTCAAGTGAGGAATATTTAATGGACCCTGCTATGTTTATCGTATGCAAGCGACTCTGCTAGTTGTATTGTCATAAGTATCGTACATGTTATGTCTAAGTCAACACTAACCTAGTGAATATTGAAGTATTTTTCACAGAAACTCACTATTAATAGCAATGCAATAAGTGTCCTATTCTTTCTCTCGTTCTGAGTGATTTCCGCAGAAAAGAACTTATCTAATTCGAACATATCCAGTTTTACACAAAAGAAGTATATGCCATTACATATAGTGAATTTAACATTAATTTTAAGTATACGCTAGAAGTAAAATGGCCTACTCAGTTAGGCAACTAATCTGTGAACGAAACAGAACACAAATGAATTCCAAATGAAAAGAACAGACGAATAATCGGACGAGAGAGTGATAAAAGAATGACCTCTTTTTTCCTTTTTCTGTGAACTGGACGGACGGAAAGAAAAGACAGAATGGAAAAAATTTCTTGCAAATGTGGACTGATGATAACTCTGTTTCTATGTGACGATGATAACTAGATGAAATATAAAATAGTTAAGTTTTGAAACTCTTATTGAAACAGCAAAACTCTAAGACATTTTTTCCTTATAAGCTATATGAGAACAGGATAACTTGTTTATCTTGGTTAAACATGATTGTTGCCCATACGTACTTGCACTTTTAAAAGAGAAATAGAGAAGATTATGATTATCATATCATTTAAGAAGGAAGGAATCGTTTATGTTGTTAGTATGATATACTAACATGTAATAACATTAATGATGATTTCCCCCTTCCATTTAGTTTCTGAGCGTTAACAATATTTGCTGCAGTTATTATAATTCACAAAATACAACTGAGCTAGAATTAATCTTCTTAAATGTGCAGTAAAATTAACCAATATTGGTTAAGATGATGTTATAATATTCATTGAACAAATCACTATAACGTTAATTGTCTACACGCTGATTGTTAAAGATATTCAGCATGAGATGTGCTGCACGCCTATTTCTGTTAAGCAAATCAGTTTATGGCAGTTACTCTGCGGCAAATCAAAGATAAGCCTTGTTACATTCTCATCAGATAATAATACCGAACAATATTTGTCTTAACGGTTTTCAATTGACAGTGGAATATTGCTGAGTAGATACACTGACAATACATCAATATAGAATATGTAAACTCACTACGCGAAGTATTTTCAGTAAGATCGTTATACTGCTATCAATTTTGACTTCGACTTCATGACAATAAAAAAATTTTCTTGGTTTAAAATTTCTGTTTGCTAATAATAAATATCGGACCTGATTCTTTGCTGTTTATTAGGAAAAGATACATGTTCTAACCATCAGTTGCCTGTTACTTATAAACAACGAAATGTAAAACTTATTACTTACTAGAAAGTAACCAGACTGATTACTCACTATGTTGTGTTACATGATTTAGATACATTCAAACAGGTATAACTATTACAGAATAGTTAAATTAAAAATTTACTACTCATTAGTAACAGATTAGTAGCGCAGACTATCACCTACTAACAACTAGTTAGTAACGATGCACATGATTTACTGACAGCATAATAATAAAATTTTTGTAGTTTTGATTGTTTTTTTGGTAATCGAAGCAAAACGGAAAAATACTGTTAAAACGTTTTTTTTTCGAAAAAAAACACGAAATTGGGGCGTTTTTAATGGTTTTGTCAAATTTAGTTGAAAATAAACTGTAAAAACGATTTAAAAGTGAAAAAATCAGTAGTAAACGCGTTTAAACCAGTTAAAACGGTGTAAACGCTTTTTTAATGCGTTTAAACGCCTTTCTGGCCGTTTATTGTCTGCCTGGGTAGAAAAAGAAAGCATTCATTTTTTTCAAACAATAATATAATAATAAATGTGGAAACCTCGGACTTAAATCCGAGAGTTATGTGTACTTCAAAAAGCGAATGAGATAGATGAGTCATCCTAGAATGTAGGAACATAAAAATTATCCTGGCAAACCTTTCTATAAACACTTGATTTCTATTGCATACTGCTTAACAATAGGGTTTGGGGGCGAATACAGCTCAGATTTGAGCTTTTCACCTTGATTCACTCTAAGAAATTCGCTTTTCCTATAACTTGATTTCTATTGGTTACTGCTCAACCAATGGGATTTTGAGACGAATGGGCACAGATTCGAGTTCTCCACCCCGGGAAACCTCGAACTATCATCTCTGTGATCGGAAGATAGAGCTCTAATTGTGAATCAATTAGAGCGTGGACAACAGCAAAATCGATTTCCGTTTAATTATCTTTGCAATAGATGAGTTAGCTTTTTTGTTTCCTTATGTTTTATATACCATTTTGTAAGTCGTGAAATTCTCTATTGAATGGTATATAATAGTTGGGGTTTTATTTGACTATGATAGGAAAAGTTTTTTACGAAAACATAGAACGGTCGATCTTCTCATAGGGAAGCATAAGGAAAAATGTCTATTTTTTCAATAAGTCAGCGATAGCTCGGTCAATGATTCTCATCTTCTAACTTGACCGAGATATTGTTGAGACAAAACTGTAGAAAAGTTCATCGCGATCTGACTCTTCTTTCAAAAGTTATGGTGTAAACGGACGGACAACCGGACATACTGACGGATTCTAGAGTTTACTCACTTTTTGAGTACGCAGAAAAATTGGATAAAAGCGCAGGTTGAAATAAGTATGTAATGAAAGAGTATAGAACTATGACAAAAAACATTTAATTTTTGATTTCAAGCTTTGAACAATTAATAATTGTCATCATCAGGATATCATTAGAAAAGAACAAAGTTAAGCTAGATATATATGTAAAGAAAACAAGGCATAGAACAGAATAGAACATAGGAAAAGAACAAAAAAATATATTACAATATCATTTTCTAGATCAAAGCTAACAAAATTACAACTTCACTATACTTGAAATTAGTTCGAATTAATTTCAAGTATAGTGAAGTTGTAATTTTGTTAGCTTTGATCTAGAAAATGATATTGTAATATATTTTTTTGTTCTTTTCCTATGTTCTATTCTGTTCTATGCCTTGTTTTCTTTATATATATATATATATATAAGGAGTGGGAAAAAGCTCGCAACATTTTTCATATCGATGTAAATAGAAAACTTTCTACGAACTTTTTTTCAACAAATTATACCACAAGATGCAGAGTGAAAAGCTCTACAATATCCGTAAGGCTGCTTATTTTATAGTTGCAGTTTTTATTTTCAAAATAGGCAAAATTTTCAGCGACGAAATTTCTATTATATGAAAACGATACAGGATGGACCAAAAGTCACACACTCGAAAGAAAATTGAGTATCTCCATTACGACTCAAGCAAACCAGCTGAATTTTTATCAATGATAGAAGCATGTTCAAGGTTTACATCCATAAAGACATGCCTAAAGAAACCCTTTGTTAAGGATCGCTATTGATGTGAACAAAAAAATTCACTTTTTCACAAATTGGAAAAAAACGATATGCTTATCAAAGGGTTTCTCTAGGAATATCTTTGTGAATAAAAAGCTTCAACATTCTCTACCACTAATAAAAAATCAGCTCGTTTGCTTGAGTCATAATGAAGATATTCAGTTTTCTTTCTGGTGCATGCCTTCTGGGATACCTTGTATTTTTTTTGGTACAAGATGGATTCGCTTTTGCTTATTTCATCTTTTTATAATTGTTCTTTGTAAATGGTAGAGCTGTTCATCATGCATTTTGTTTTTTATTAAAAAATATCCGATGAGAAAAAAATCAAATACAAAAAAGGGATCCATCATATACCAAAAATATATC